TGTGCCCAAAATCCCAAGAGGAGAATGGAGGAGAAGGGATTGTGGCATGGTCATCCCCTATGGGGAAGGGTGATTTCTCACTCTCTGTCTCTCCCACAAACACATGGGCCCTATGGCAAAAATCTCTGTATAAATAAATATATAAAAATGTAAAAACAAAGGCCAGCCAATGGCATGGTGGTTAAGGCGCTGGACTCCCACACAGCCAACCAGTTTGAGTCCCGGACCTTGCGGCTTGCTTGCTTTCTTATTCTCTCTCTCTCTTTCTCTCTCTGTCTCTCTCTGGTCAAATTTTAAAATAATAATGATAAATAAAATTGAATAGATTTTTTTTTAGAGAGAGAATTCTTTGCTATGAGGTGGGGTGCATGTGCTCATCTGAGAGCCAGAGAGGAAGAAAGTGAGAAGGACCAGCAGTTAGTGTAATGGCTATGTCGCTGGACTCCCACGTAGTCGACTGCAGTTCGAGTCCTGGACCTGGTGGCTTAAACTCAAGCCGGGCACATGTGCATGCGTGCCCAAAGATCCCGAGAGGAGAATGGAGGAGAAGGGATTGCAGCATGGCCATCCCCTCTGGGGGGTGATTTCTCGCTTTCTATTTCTCTGTCTCTTTCTGTCTGTCTGGCAAGCGCACACGCCCTATAGCATAAACCTCTCAAAAAAAGAAAGAAAGAAAGAAAAAGAAAGAAAGAAATCACCCCCTAGGAGGGATGGCCATGCTGTAATCCCTTCTCCTCCATTCTTCTCTTGGGATTTTTTGCATGCACTCACACACACCTGGCATGAGTTTAAGCCGCTGGGTCTGGGACTTGAACTGCGTCAACAACGTGAGAGTCCAGCAACATAACCATGATGCCATCTGGTGATCCCTAAATAAATAATTCCTTAAATTAAAAAACAAAAATTTAAAAACACAGTGGAGTGGCTTGTAAGTAAATAAAAGTCTACACCATGAGAAGACCAACAGTTAAACTAATTGTTTCCCCTTGATGTCCTAACACACACTACTTTGGCGTTCAAGACCCTACTTAAAAGCCTCTTCCTGGCCAGCCGTGGCATGGTGGTTGAGGCAGCTGGATCCCACATGGCTGACCATGTGGTTAAGTTCCAGACCTTGTGGCTTGAGAAACACACTGGGCACATGTGCATGCATGTCCAAAATCCTGAAAGAAAAAAATGGAGAAGGGAGTGTGGCATGACCATTCCTCAAGGGGATACTTTCTCTCTTTTTCCCTCTCTTTCTCTCCAGCCAGCACATCTGCCCTTTAGCAAATTAAAATTAAAAAATCCCCTGTGAAGCCCTTCCTGAAGCCTTCCCCAACTCATCCAAATTGAATCCTCCTTCATTATCCCCCCACTGCCTGCTGAGCAGGTCCATAACTTTGCACCTGTCACATTTAATCGTGTTTGTGTATTGGCTTATCATCTCTCTGTGTCTTCCTGTTCTATATACGTCTGCACCCCCTGGGGCAGGAGCTGAGTCTTAATCACCTGTACAGTCCCAGTGCCTGGCCCCCAGGAGAAGCTCGGTAAATGGCCACTACCTTAATAGATGAGTAGCTTAAAAGGATGGGAGGTCTTCCTGGAGAACGCTTTTGCATACTCATCCCAGATCACCACCTGCCTGAATGTCTTCACATGTGGCTTGCAGCTCCCCCAGGCAATTGCTCACCTCTCCTGGTCTCATTAGGAATAGTTAACGTCATTTCCTCAAGATCTGTGTGTGCC